CACGAATTCTCAGTTCAATCTCCTATTGCATCATCTCTTGTGAATTCTGCCTATGTTGATGACCAGTTGATTTGGAGGGATCCAGGTTAGGCACTCCACTCGTCTATAAAAAACGCAGTTCTGCCTTCGCATTGACAGGACTTGTGAGAGATCCCATTTTCTGTATCTATCACAGAAATTTAACCTAATCTTCACTTGGTGAAAGCTGAAAATTTAATGACACACACAAAGCACTAGATTCTCAATGAGACGGTTCAACACTAATTCATTTGTAAACATCTATACATCAATATACTATAATCCTTTAACATATACTCGTATATTTCTATTCCTAATTCCCCTTTCGCACACTACTCTCACATACTGTGAGTGTGAGCGAAGTGAGTGAGTGAGTGAGTAACATGCCTAAGTCTTTATGAACTGTGACTGGTGATGTGTGCGTCTGTGTCTGCGTGCACCCAACACGCATAGATAATCATACAGAGTGATATATTTGTTTTGGTGCACAAATACATATGTAAATCTATTTAAGTTATAAAGGTTTTGTGATCATTATGATTCTTCATTTTAAGTAAGTGTGGTAAGAGAAGCTGTTACTTTTCGCTGTATGAATGCACACGACACGTGTGAGGTCATGTTATGTTGACATAGCAAACATTGTCGCTTCTCCTCCCCACCCGTTATCTCTCGCTGCTCATGCCTATTCACTTTTCTCTCCTTTTTATCCATTTGGTTCTCTCCCCTTTATCTCATCATGCACGTTGCCTTCCATTTCCTTGTTATTCAAAAGTAGTAAGGAGGATATGTTGGGTTAGCTTGAGGTACAGAAAATATGAAAAGTGGATGTCGTGCCAAAACAAAACACACCACTCAACCCTCACCACACCACACCACACCACCACACACCACCACCACCACCACCACCCCCCACCACCCACCACCCACCACCACCCACACCACCACACCACCACCCACACCACCACCACACCACCACACCACCACACCCTTAAATCCTTTCCAGTGCTTGCGTTATTCATTTACATTCTCGATGTCGCCGCGGAAATTTTTCGTGTGTAGTGTCTCTGCGATGATTTAAAACCTTTGTAACGGTCATTTTCACTGGACGGACGAGTATCAAAAATTTTCGAACGAGGCATTGGACGGACATCTTTGTGAAGGTTAGTACATGTATTTTATGTTATCAATAATATTTGCTCTCCTCTCTCTCTCCTCTCCTCTCCTCTCTCTCCTCCTCCTCTCTCCTCTCCTCTCCTCTCTCTCCTCTCCTCTCCTCTCCTCTCTCTATGTATATGTATGTTCAGCTATATTTTATTGGTTTTGCTTGTTTATAGACATACTATGGTATATTTTATACACGGTGTGTGATGATTACGATTGTTTACGTATAGTAGGTGCATTTATTACTCTAAATAGGATTAGGTTAGGTTAGCAGCACACCGAAAGTGTGAGGTCTTGTTATGTTGACATAACAAAATCGGACCCCCCCCCCTTCCCCTCCCCATCATCTCTCGCTGCTCTTGCTACCCGGCCTATTCCCCTTCTCTCTTTTTATCCTTTTTTCATCCTCTATTTATCTCGACATGCTCCTCTTCTTCCTTTGCTCACATTTCATCTTTCAATTACTCCAAAAATAACTAAAAACTTGCGCCAATTATAAAATCTTATATATTTCAGCAAAATCAATGACGATAAAAGTCTGTTAATCACCACCACCCTAAATCCTTCTCACTGTTTGTGTTACCTCTCGCGGAAGCTCTAGTCCTCCATTTGCATTCCAACTGTCGTCGCGTCAACATATCCTGCTGTACAGTGCTTCTGATACAGACTGTTTGCATTATTTTTGTGTGTGTATTGTGAATAACTTGAATTAGGCTCTTTTGTGTGTGTTGTTATGACACAGTGACGGCAAAATGAAAATACATCAAGGACTTATAACAACGCATTTCACGGACGATTTTTTTGAATTTCGAAGGAAGCACTGGAAGGACTTAATTTTTAAGGTTAGTACATGTTATAATTACTGTATTATTGTATCATAGTTAATATTATTATTATTATTTATTGTTATATTATATATTTTTTTCATATTATATAGATATAATTTTTTTAATCGTTATATCTCTTTGTTATTTATCGATTATTACACATAGCTTATTACGTACAAGTGTTGTTGTTGTTTTTTTTCATGTACTGGGTGATTGATTGTCATGTTATGCCGCAAAGACGAACGCAATATATTTGTTTCGATACAAAATATACTTGCTATTGTCTTGTGATTAATAAATGATAATAAAAATACATATATTACTCTTTGACAATTTTGCTGTGACGATTAATTTTTATATATATGAAAGGAAATATATATATATATTGTACATAGGCCTACGCAGTACGATTCAAAGTAACAACATTAATGATATTTATATTTGGTGTTCATGATAAATGTTTACAAATGTTCATCGCATCTTTGAATGAGACAAATCGTTTTTATTTCGTAGTATGTTATTATAATACGGCTTACAAACAACTGTTTTTTAATATGCGCATAGGGGTGAGTAAAGGATATTTTTATTGAGATTTTAATATATAGTTATTTATCAATATATACCTAATATTTGTTATTATATAAAAGGTCATACCCATTGTATACTTAGTTGTATAAAACGCTTTTATGGGTTTTTGTAATTCACTTACTCTCCCCCAATACCATCGGTCGCGTGCCTCCTCCTATCCCGGAAGGTCAGACTTGTCATTTATTGTTCATCTTTTTTCACGTGAACACGTGGGCAGTGCGGTGGGACACTTGCAAAGCGCTTTCAGTATATAATGTGTGTTTTTTTCATAGTGGTGCACGTTTTGTATACATTTGTTAACAATCTTACCTAGTCAGTTGAACGGACATGTTTGCACGGAACTGCCGATATTAATGGATAGAACGACACAAATCTTGTTTTTGTATTGTGATTTTATTTTTCATTCCAAACAATATTTCAGGGGTGGGTGACTTTGCTACTGCTGCGCATACATAAGAACAAATGAAATAACAAAACATAACCAAGTTTGATTATTCGTTACAATTTGTTTATTATTTTCATTCTATCTGTCTTTGTTAATGATCAATCATGTTGCAGTTTTTGGATGGATGCTCGTCACTTTTGCTTGTTTTTACAGAGTAAGACGTCGAGTCAGTGTTATTTATTTACAATATAGTCATAATTGCGTGTCTATATAATATTGTATTTCATATATGTCATATTTCTGGTATGCATTTCTAGGATATTGTCATATTTAGATTATGCATAACGCTTCATGTCTTTTCTTCATATATATATTTATGTACACAAGATACACGTACACTTTATACATGCACATGCATATGCACCTGCACACATACATACCTAACATATATACATAATAAATAAAATTTTTTTATATATTGTATATATAGCTGCATGCATACATCATGATATATAGAGATTCGAAAGTGATGTAATATAAATATATACAGTCTCCTATTTTTATTCTACATTTTGATTTGAATGATGAACGCATTTTCATTACCGTTTTGATTCATTATATTAATTGGGGAAAACAAATCATACGCAACATTCAATCTAACATTATTCCTACACTTCAGGTCACACCCGGTCACGTCGAACGAACTCGTACGCCCTAGCCTAGCCACCGTTCGCTTTACCGGATTCCTAAACACGAGGGAGGTCAGCCATGGTCAAGACAAACGAACGCGTACATATTTCCCATGATGATCAAGGTTAGTGATAAAAATAAAATATTTTATTAATTAATTAATTTCTGACGCAAACATTTATTTATTTATTTATTTATACACGTACATGTACAATATATATTTATATACATACATACATATATATTGTTATATATTTAATATTATATATGTATATACATATATATGCATATATATATATATATATATATATATATATAATATATATAATATATATATATAATATATATATATATATATATATATATATATATATATATATATATATATATATATATATATATATATATTATAATATATATATATAATATATATATATATATATATATATATATATATATATAATATATAATATATATATATATATATATAATATATATATATATAGATATATATAATATATATATATATATATATATATATATATATATATATATTATATATATATATTATATATTATGTATATATATATATATATATATATATATATATATATATATATATATATATATATATATATATATATATATATATATATATATATATATATATACAGATTTTTTTATATATAGTCATTATTATTTAGTAGTATTTCTATACTAACGCAAACGCACGCGCACTCACACACATATTGCATATGTTTGTTTATACATACATACAAAGTGCAAGGGAGTTGTATATGAAATGGGTTTCCTGTATTGTATTGTTTTGGTTGCAATTTTGCTCAGTTTCAATGTATGAGTGATAGCGTTCACTACATTATTGTATCGACAGTGGGTATTTTATTGTGAGTTCCATTATTGCTAGTCCAGATAACATAACAGGAATATTTATTGGTTTGGTTTGCTTGGTTGCTGGTTGGTTTGGTCAGATATTTCTCTTATTTAGTCTTTGTGGCTCCAAAAGGAGCCGATGTAGTTGAAAAGAGGTAATACGGAAAGTATTTACTTCTTCTCGGTCTTCTTGGGGAGGAGCACAGCCTGGATGTTGGGCAGGACACCACCCTGGGCGATGGTAACGCCAGAGAGGAGCTTGTTGAGCTCTTCGTCGTTACGGATGGCCAGCTGCAAGTGACGGGGGATGATACGGGTCTTCTTGTTGTCACGGGCGGCATTACCTGCCAACTCGAGGACTTCAGCAGCCAAGTACTCCATAACGGCAGCGAGGTACACAGGGGCACCAGCACCTACACGTTCAGCATAGTTGCCCTTACGCAGAAGGCGGTGAATCCTACCGACGGGGAACTGAAGGCCGGCCCTGCTTGAGCGGGACTTTGACTTGCCCTTTACCTTACCGCCCTTACCACGACCAGACATGTTGATAGTTTGCTATGACTTTGCTCAAAAGAATCAAAAATCATAGTTGCGGAAAGGAAAGGAAAGATTATGGAGTAAAGTGAGGAATTGAAGGGGAGAGAGGTAAGAGGGCGTAAAGAGAGAAATGGAAAGAGAGTAGGAGATTAAAAGAAGGGGGGCGAAACCCCTTGCATGGTTAACATATATAATAAAATAATGCTCGTTCATATCTGGAGTTAGTGGGGGGGGGCGGCAAGTTAAGTTACTTTACTGGTTAAAATTGTTAACTTAAATAAAAGTAAATAAACGTAAATACCTCTTTTGTTTGATTTTGTTTTTTTATTTTGTTTTTGAGTTTTATATAATTTTTGTTGTTTTTATTGGTTTTATTTTTATAGAATAACAAAGTGATTACAGAACAATTAAAGTAAATAGATAGTTTTTATTGATTTTCTTTTTATTGTTTTTTATTGATTTTCTTTTTATTGTTTTTTATTGATTTTCTTATTTGATGTGTTAAGGAAACAATGGCTAATTCTACTTGAACGAAAAAACAAAGGAACTATATTTTGGGTTTTTATATTATATTAATTTTTTATTTGATTTTATTGCTGTAAACAAAAGCAAACAGTTGCAGAGAGAGGTGGGGAGTTCCAGGGCAGAGCGAGATGATGTCTGATGGATGATGAAGGAGAAATATTCTAGATAGAGATGGGTGAGGGATGAGATGGGGTGAGTGAAGGGGGAGAGGATAAGCGAATAAAGTGGTATAATAAAAACATGCGTGGGGAGATTAATTCATTGACAACTGGGTCTGACGAGTCAAAAGGGGAGGGGACGAAAGGGGAGCATAGTACACAAATAGTGAGAATAAAACAAAACGGAACAATAACGGTGGTAAAATAGCAGTTAGAAAAGGTGCAGAGGAACAAGGAACAGACAGGGAGGATGGTTGCTCTGGGGTCGTCAGAGTGACGTAAGAAATAGGTGGCAGAAGAGGCTGACACAGAGCATTAAGCAAGAGAGCCGCCGCGTGCATACATACATATACATATATATGTATATATAATATACATATATAAATACATGCATGCATACACACAGGTAAGCTCTTACCAAAGCATTGTGTCAGCCAGATACTGGTGTTGAAGAGATAGGGTGAAGAACAATAGAACATAACATAACAAAATAACAAGGCTAATTTTTTTTTTTTTTTTTTTTTTTTTTTTTTTTTTTTTTTTGGAAGTTTTTGTTTGTTTTTTCTTCCTTTTTCCGTAGAACATCTCCATCCTGCTCGTCCTCTGACTCGCGTGTCTGCCTTATGCAATTGCACGAGTGCAATCCCATAATCACAGGCAATCGAGTCAGAGTCCGTAGCAAGTTTGTAAGATGTTCAGTCCTTGAAATAACTCCGTGTATAATTCCGTGTTGACGATTCCACGACCACTAGGCGGGCCGAAGCGGGCAAAGTGACTAATCGTGGGAACTTCAACGCGGAATATATACCTTTGAGCCACGCCAAGGTGGCCAGCCCTCTCTCCCCCGTGATTGGCTGATCCGCGCCGCACGCATGTACCTGCCAGATACCGCCAGCTGCGGCTGGCAGGCTCGAAGCTTGCTCGCTTTCTTAAGTTGTTATAGCTGTGCAGCGTGGATTAGCCAATCCTTTGGGGATTCTGAGGGTGACTTCTGTTTTATTTATTTTTTATTTATTTTGTTTTAGCCTTGAACAAAGAAACATAGATGGGCAATCGTGGTCATGATAAAGGTCAGTGTGTGGATGCGTATATTGGTGCGGGTGTCGGTGTTTCCGTGATTGGGAGTGTGCGGGGCCACCAGGTGTGGTTGTTGTGTGTGTTCGTGTGTCTGTCGATAATGTTATTGTAGTTTGCGTCTTCTTGTTCGCGTAGGCGGGCCCAGGTGTTTTGTGCGCGTCTGTGTATGCGTGTGTTGAGTGGCTCGATGCTGTATGTTCGGTGTAGAGTTTCTGAGGAAATAAAGTCTAATCTTGTTGCGCCGTGTACCCAGAGTAGTGCTTTGTTCTGTACTGATTGCATTTTGAGTTTTTGGAGTGAGATATTGCAACCAGCGGGACAGCTGTATATTCGAGAATTGGTCTGACAGTTGTTTTGTATAGTCTGAGTTTGGTTCGTGGTGTGCAGCATGAGAAGCGTCGGAGTTTGGTGAGTATTGTGCGTGCTTGTGTGATTCTCTGTTTGATGTGTGTGGTGAATCCAGTGGTTGAGAGGTGGAAACCGAGAATGTTTCCCTGTTTGAGTATGGGATGTGAGTGTTGTTGATTGTGATGGGTTGTGAGTATCTGCGTGCGATGTGGATGAGTTTGAATTTGTTCATGTTAGTCTGTATTTTTCCAATGGTGCTCAAATGTGTTGTGTTCTGTATAGCTCGTTGTGTTGTGAGTTTCATGATATGTTGTGATTTAGAGGGGTGTGAGATAATCTGCGTGACGTCGTCTGCATAAGAAAAGTAGTTACTGTGTGGTGTTGGCTGTGGCAGATTGGCTGTGTACAGGATATAAAGGGTTGGCGAGAGGACGCTTCCCTGTGGTACTCCACTTCTCAGGTGGAGGGGGGTGCCCAGGTGGGATCCCAGGCGTATTGTGGCAGTCCTATGGTCCAGGAAACTGCAGAGGAGGCGTGAGATGTGTAGGGAGTTGTAGTTGTATTATTTTGTATTTGAGGCCGTCATGCCAGACCTTGTCAAAGGCCTTGCTGACGTCTCGTAGTATGATGTTGATCTGGTGCTTGTTAGCGAGACCGAGAGCGATTTCCTCGTAAGCGAGTGCAATCGCACTCTCGGTCCCCCTGTGTGGGCGAAAGCCGTATTGCCTACTGTTGTGTTTGTTGTTGTTTTCAAGGTGGGTGATGAGTCTGCGGGTAATAAGCCTCTCCAGCAGTTTCCGGGAACTTCCAGCAACGAGATGGGGCGGTAATTCCCCACCTCGTGTGCTGACTTCCCCGACTTCGCAATAAGGGTGATAGTTGCGTGTTTGAATTTGTCGGGAAATATCCTGTAGCCAAGCAGGCGTTGAAGATATGGCGTAGCTTGCGGATCATAGTGGGTGGCAGATGTTCAATGATTGTTTTGTTTATGTTGCTTGCTCCTGGTGTTGTGTTTTTCGTGTGTTTTATTGTGTTTATTATTTCTTCTGGAGTGATGGGTGTGGAGAGGGGACTGTCCTCTGTGAGATTGTTCAGTGTTATGATGTTTTCTGGGAGAGTTAGGTTTCTGTGTTGTTGTAAGTAGTTTGTGACCTCGGTCTCTGTGGTGTTATCGAAGCGGGCGTTCTCGGCGGGGAGATCTGGAAATTCTGTTGCCAGAATTCCCTGTGGAGTGCCTCCATCCCCTCCACCGAGTTCACCCTCTGTCTGTGTGCGTTGTAAATGTATGAGACTGTCTGTCTGTTCGATCCCATGAGCATTTTGAAGGAGCTCCAAAATTTCTTGGATCTTTCGTGTTCTGGCATAGTTTCCTCGCTAGTGTTTCCCAGTGTTGATTGCTCATTACTCTAACTTCGTGTGTGAGCTGTGTTTGTATTTCTCTGTATCGTGTGCGTAGTTGTGCGTCCCAGCCCCGTGTTATTGAAAGTTCGTGTAGATGCCTGTATTGTATTTTCAGCAATTTCAGATGATGTGTTTCTCTGTAATGGGGGATAGTTTTGTATGTTGTTTTGGGTATGTTGGCCTCACGGGCCGTCTGTATGTCTGTGTACCACTGTTCAAGGTGGTTGTTTATCATGTGCGTGGGCTGACCCTCGAGATCGATTACTTGTGTGTTTTCGAGTGCTTGTTTAAATCCACCCAGTTTGCATGTTTGAAGGATTCTCGGGGTTGTGTTGGGGTCATGATGGGGTTTGTTGACAGTGTTATTATTACAGGGAGGTGATCACTGGAGGTGACGTCATCTGTGGTAATGTGGTAGTGTAGGTGTGCTATGTGGTTCGCGAGTACTATGTCAGGTGTTGTCGCTGCGTTATGTGCAATGTATGTTGGTGTGTGTGGACCGAGGTGTGTGAGTCTTCCTTGTTGTATGTAAGAGGCCAGGCCTCTGCCAACTGCATTGTGTCGTTGTAGCCAAAGAGTGTGTGGTGGGCGTTGAAATCTCCCATGATGTATATTGGTTTGTTGTGCCTCAGGAGCTGCAGGATGTCAGGTTCGGGAATGTATTGTCTTCGTGGTGGTATGTATAGTGTTGCCAGTATGATGGGTCCTTGTGGTGTGTTTACTTCGACTGCCAAAAGGTCTGAGGTGAAGTTATTTATGATTTTGTGAGGTATGTCGTTTTTGATCGCAATTGCTACGCCATCGCTTCTTTCCTGTGATTGGTTGGAAGAATAGACAGTGTAAGTGAAGATCTTCAATGGAGTGGTGTTATTGAGCCCATGACTGTTTATGAGGATGATGTGTGGGTCGTGTTTCCTGTATGTGTTACAGAGTTCTGTTTTGCGTGTTGGCCAGTGTAGTACGTTGTGTTGTATAATGGTGAGGCGTGAGTGTAATGTATGGTGTCCCATGTGTATTTGTTTGTTATTGAATGAGGAACCCATTATGAATAGCGTGCATGTTGTCACAACGTTCAATCATTCCGTTGGTGACCTTTAAGTTACCGTCCTTTAAGTGTTGGTGTAGTTTCTTTATCGTGACCACGATTGCATGCTCCTCTTTCGTCAGTAGCCACTTTATTCGCTTATTGATAATTTCTTGGCCTATTTCATAGCGATCAGAGTACTCGTATTTTTTTGGATTTTCTGCAAAGAGGCGGATGCCGTAGTAGGTAGGGTCTGTGGCAGTCCCATCCATGAGGCGTTCCATCCCCTCGTCATCGACGTGGCTGTGACCTGGTTCGGTTTGGTCAGGTGTGGGTGGTGGGGGACCAGGTGTGTCGAGAGGGGTATCACTGAGGATATCCCTGGTTTCAGCCTCTGAGGGGATGTGTATGTACTTTGGCCTCACAGATGGGCCTGTGGTGGGGGTGCGGATGTTGGTGATGACTCCTGGGGAGATGACTGGGGTGCAGCTGTCTGGGCCTCAGCAGGCTGAGGCTCTGACATCTGGGCAGGCTGGGGCTCCTGTACCTGAACCGTACAGTCTGAGGTCTGGGGCTGAGGTTGTGGTGCCTGAACCTGTGAAGGTTGAGGCCTCTGGGGCTGGGGTGGTGCCTGAACCTGTGGAGGTTGAGGTCTCTGGGGCTGGGGTTCAGGAGGAGCCTGGATAGTCATGGTTGGGGGCTCGATGACTTTGAGGATTCCCCAGGAGTTTGAATCTC